CCGACGTCGCTTCAAGCGACTCGGAGTTCAGGGCGGGCTCCTTTGACAAGGCCGGTAGAAGAGTGTTATCACATCTTCGATGGCGAGACCGGTTTACCCGTCAAGGCATCTGGTGTCCACTTGGAGCCGTTGCCAGAGGTTGCTGAGATACTGAACCTCGAGGAAATGACGGTCGAGTCTTTCCTGGCCAACCGCAAGGCTTGGAAGGTTGCCGAGATGGTCCTCATAAGGCCTGAGACCACTCGGGAGGAGCTGAACGCCTCCTCTGTCTTGGACGAGGACGTCCTGGAAGACTTGAACAATCGGCGTCAGACGCGCTTGGGTTCCGAGATCCTTAAGAGCCTCAAGGATCCGATGTATACTTTGGTGACGGAGTATGCGGACGTGATGAACAAACACCCACCTTCCCAGCTCCCACGAGATCGGGGTGTACGGCATGAGATTAATCTCGTACCTGGCACGAAGTACTGTGTCACGAGGCAATGACCTCTTCCGCGCGAACAGTGCGAGTTCATTGATGCCTTCTTCGCTGCGAAAGCGAAGGCAGGCATGGTGTGGGAGTCGAAGTCCCCGCACTCGACGCCAACTTTCTGCGTTCGGAAGCCGAACGGAGAGTGGCGTCTAGCTCATGCTTATAACAAGCTAAACAACGCGACGGTGCCGGCCCAAACACCAATCCCACGAAAGGATGTGTTGTTAAACAACATGGCCGGAAGCGTACTGTACAGTGCGCTGTATTTGGTAGACGGATACTACCAGATCCTGATGCGAGAGAGCGACATCCCGCTCACCGCGGTGAGCACTCCAAGCGGCATGCTTTGGGGGTGGCTCGTCATGCCGCAGGGCTTGTCTAATGTCCCGGCGACGTTCAATCGCCTGGTGACGCAGCTGCTCCGGCCACTACGTGCCTTCGAACAGACGTACTTCGACGACATCTTCGTCTATAGCCGTGCCGAGGGAGGCAAGACGGCCATGGGGGTGCATCTGGAGCACCTCCGTCAAATGTTGAACGTGATGCGAGCGAACAAGCTCTACGCCAACATCGACAAGTGCGTCTTCGTGTCACCAGAGATTAAAGCTCTAGGTTGCTTCGTAAGCAACGTGGGCGTTCGGGCTGACCCATACAAGGTCAAGACCATAGCAGCATGGTCAGCGCCCCGATCCCAGAAGGATCTTCGAAAGTGGTTAAGCTTGGCCAACTAACTTCACAAGTACAGCGCAGGGTACGCGGGCTTCGCTAAGCCCTTGTCGGGCCTCCTTCAGAAGGACGACGACTGGCTCTGGGAGCAAGAGCACCAGGATGCTTTTGACAGCATCAAGGCCAGTCTCCAAGAGGCCCCTGTCCAGGCCCTGCCGGACGAGACGAAGCCGTTTAGCGTCGTCTGCGATGCCTCCAATTACGCAATCGGGTGTACATTGCTGCAGGCCGACACGGCTGGAGATGAACGAGTCATCTCGTTCCAGTCCAAGCAGCTCAAAGCCGCCGAGCGGAACTACTTTGTCCACGACAAGGAGCTCCTGACAATGAAATATGCCCTTGTGAAGTTTTGTATTCACCTTCTGGGCTCCCAGCCCTTCGTGATCTAGACAGACCACGCATTCTTGAGGACGGCGACAAATTCGCCTCACCTCTCCTAACGGATGGCGAGGTGGCTTTCCTTCTTCGCGGAGTACAGCTTCCGCGTCGAGTACAAGCCGGGCAAGCTCAACGTGCTTGCGGACGCCCTCTCTCGGCGTCCAGACTACGAGTTGGCCCACATCACACGGGTGACAACGGATCTATATGATCGGATACGCATGACGAATCGGGACGATGAGGCTGTCGCGCCTATCGTCAAGTTCCTCACAGCAGGAACGAGCGCGAAGTCCAACTGGCTTTCGTCGCGACAGAGGGGCTCCACCGATATAAGTTGAAGGACGGCCTCTTCTATTATCGGGTGGAGCCCAATGAACCTCCACGGGTGGTCGTACCAACGACGAGGATCTAAACGCCCTCCAAGCGCCACTTGGGCCGCGAGAAGACCTTCCTGTCGGTCGGGCCCACATGTACAAGTGGATCGCCCGATACGTGAAGACATGTGAAATATGTCAGCAGGTCAAACCCGCAGTGCACTCTTCGGCTCCACGCCCGTACCGGTTGACTGTTGGAGGTCGATGACTCTTGACTTCATCTTTGGGCGTCCCGCCGACGGACACGGCAGCACCGGAATTTCGGTGTTCGTGTATCAACTGAACGAGATGGTACATCTTGCGCCAGTTCCCGTTACCGTTACGGGTGAGCAAACCGCAAGGCTGTTCGTCGATTGCGTGTTCCGCTATCACGGTCTCCCGGAGACAATTGTCTCGGACCAAGACCCGCGGTTCACGGCTGCGTTTTTGGAAAACGCTGTTTTCTGCTATTACTGGGAACTCGTCTGCAGATGTCCACGTCGGACCATCCACAGACAGACGGTCAGACCGAGGGCGTCAATCGAGTGCTCGAGGGCACTCTGCGCAGTGTGTGCGCATCGTTGGTGACTCAAGGCTCGCGATGGAAGTACCACGTACGTGGTCGACGCAGCTTCCAGCTGTTGAGTTTGCGCTCAATAACGCGGTGCACGCGTCCACGGGGCTCACGCTGTTCTACTTGAACGGCTTCCGTCACCCCAGAGTGCCCCTCACTCTTCGAGGAGGCACTGACTTATCTATTCTAAGTGGGGGAGAGGCTCGGAAAGCTCTTTCCTCCCAGGTCTCGGATGTGAGACCAGTTTCGCTGCGGAAACAAGTGAAATACTTTGTGGATACTAAGCTGAGCGTTGTCACCAGGGTCCGCGATGCCATGGCAGCGGCCCAGGATAGACAAAAGGAGTACTCAGACAAACATGGAAGAGGAAACTTAAGTGTATTTAAAGTGGGGTACTTAGTGCGCTAGACACTGTCAGCTCTGTCGGCAGCAACAAGCTGAAGCACCGCTTCATCGGACCACATGCAGTCCTGGCCAGACATGGTGCGTCGTACACCATCGACCTGCCGAAGTCAATGACGACGCACCCGACGTTCTATGTTGGACGTCTTAAGCGGTACTTTGATCCGCAGGGGGTTGCTGACTCGCAGACCCACCTTGACCCAGCTCCTCGAAGCGAGGGCCGGTCACAGACGTCGTCGAGGTCGTCGGAGCAGGCACCCAAGCCTCGGTCGGAATGGCAAGGCTGCGGTCAAGACCGTACGCCGGAGGGTCCCCGTACGAATGGACCCCGAAGCCATACGCAGAGTACGTCAAGTACGTCAAATACGCACCATACGCGTACGACTGGGGCCCCAGAGCTCTCCTCGGGAGGCCGATACCCTCTTGAGTTAATGGCAGCTCCCTGGATGATGGGTGCCACCACCGAGCCCCCACGCGCACGCTGGGCAGCTTGGAAGTCCTCCTACTGCTGTCGAAGTCGTTAGAGATATTCCAATGCTCAGGAATAGCGCCCTCTTCCTCCTCCTTCTCGTCCTCTTCATTCGAGGAATCGAAGAGTCCCCGATGGGAGTACACAGTCTCCTTCTCCTCGCGGAGTGAGACTTCGAAGCCGTACGCTTTTAGAGGG